GTACTTTCATGCAATTTTACCGTCATTGTAGCATTCTTGTAGATGTTATAAATAAGTTTGGTATATCGATAATCGACTCTGCATTCTTGAAGTGCTTGCAAAACTGCCATCAACTCAATTTAAATTAAATTTTATAAATACCTCTAAATACCCATCTTGGGTAAATACCCTCGGGTATATATCCAGGAAATTTACCCTTGAAAATAAATACCCGGCTATTTAACAACACTGGATATGACTGGTAATAGCAAAAAGAGTCACATAATGGAAAAATAACTCTGAACAGAGACTAAAAAGAGAAAGAGAAACTTGACAGAAAGAAGGGCAGTTAAGACATGACTGATAATAGTAGTTAGAGACTCATTATGGAGGAAAAATTCTGAACAGAGACTACAAAGAGAAGAAAGAAACTGGACAAATCGGTAGGGAACCAGAAGAAGACTGCTAATAATAGTAAAAATAACCTGATAATAAAAGAAAGACTAAACAGAGATTAGAAAGAGACTGTGCAGAATGGAGAAAGAAGACTAGGACAATACTGGAAATAACAGAAAGAACCTCATAATGGAAGAAAAACTTTGAACAGAGCCTAGAAAGAGAGACTTGGCAGAAAGAAGGGCGGTTAAGACATGACTGGTAAAAGTAGTTAGAGACTCATTATATGTAGAACTGGACAAAAAGGTGGGAGACCACAAGAAGAAGACTACTAATAGCAGACAACGCCTGATAATAAAAAAAGAGACTAAACAAACACTGGGCAGAAATGGGGATACTAAAAGAAAACTGATAATAGTAGAAAGAGACTGAAAAGAAGAAAAAAAAGTTTTAGCAAAGAAGAAGGAGAACAAAATAGTATCAGATGTTTAAATGAAACAATAGCATCTCAAAAACGAAATAAGATAAAATTTATCGACCATAAATAATTTCTTATTGTTTCATAATGTTTCAAATCATCATTATGATTTTTTAAATCTAAGTTTGCTTAATTGTTAAAAAAAGAGAATTAAAAAAAATGCTATCTCAAGAACTAATTGATAGGTATATCACCATGAAACAAAAAACATTTAAAAACAAATTTAATCTTTTCAATTTTAATTCAACCTTGAAATAATTTTTTTCTGTAAATTTATTATTTAATTAATAAATTATTGTTTTTAATTAACATAAAATCCAGCGATTTCTAGTACTTACCAGATTTGCATGGATCTAAATCCAAATCATCGGAAGTTCGTTTCGGAAAATTACCATTAACTAATTCTTCGATAGTGAATTTAGTTTTTATCGTTGGTTTTGTGTAATTTTTATAAGCGAATGTAATCGCTGATTGGGGAAAGTACACTAACACAGATAAAACACTAAATAAGATTCCAAACACTTTTATTTTCTTCATTGTCTTCATTATATCAATAAAAAGTTGTTTTAAAAGTCTTTTTGTGTTGAAATTATCACAGAAAACTTTGTTTTATTTTATTTATTTATTATTTTTTGTAAAAATTACCAAAAGTAAATGCAACAAAAAAAAATTTTTACATTGTTTTCGGTTTGTTTTAAAATATCGAAAAAGTTTGAATTTTTTTAGATGTTGTTACTTAGAAGCACTGTACTGAACTATTAGGACGGTTTTTAAGTTAAAGAATCTTCGTCTTTGAGAGGATGTTAAACGTTGACGACGACGACGACGACCGATACGAACGACATTATCTCTTCTGTTGCCTCCTCTCTCCACTTCGTTTTTTTTTCGTTCGAGAATCAAAGATCAACCCGAGTTAGTCTCTTTGTCGTCAGTCGATTTTTGGAGCGGCATCGAATTGGGTCACGACGCCTACCGACGCCGATCGTCGCGACGCCGCTACTAACAACAACACGACCCCAAAACTCGAATCCTCGCTCCGTAGTTAACTGGTGCTGCTGGTGGCAAAACGGTGAAAATTCTATTGGAACGCGCCGAGGTTTTCACCCCGTAAAAAGGGGTGAAACTTTTTCTCTACTTTTACACGCACCGTTTCAACCCACCTCCACGTGAGATATGGGGGGAAATTTTTTTGCCGTTGTAATAATTATAATAGCTACCTGGGGTCGTTAACACATGACGATGACACGTTAACATATCGTGTTGTTGTTTTGGACGTTTGAAATAAAATAAATTTCTAATTAAATTTTAATAATTTATTAGATATGTTCTATTTTTGGTATAACCGGAGCCCCTTCGAAGCAAATTGCTGGGATTTCCATAACGTGTATTAAATCTCTGTAGAAATTAACGGAAGATTTCGGCTTTCTAATTCTCGCGCAATCATCATAATCGATTTGATATAATCCAAATTTTAAAGTAAATCCATCAATCCACTCCCAATTATCCATTAAACTCCAAACTGCATAACCTTTGACATTAACTTGAGATTCTTGCATCGCTTTTAACATCGATTTTATATAACCCTAAAACGGATTTATTTTAATCATTACAGTAAAACCTCGATATAATGGACCTCGTTGGAACGGACTTCGAATATAACGAACAAAATATTTTTAAGTCATACTGTTAATATTATCTACATATTTAATACAGCTTTCACAGATTGAATCCAACTCGGGTTATTCCCCTAATTGCTCTATACTCTATTCCAGTCTCATAGATAATCGCGGGGTATTCCTCGAGTTAAGATATCGTCAAGATTTATAGAAAGAATTATTAAAACTAGATTAAATTTGCTATAAATTGGTTTTTTAAACATCTTGATATTTCAAATACTTTTTGAGTTATGATTGTTTTAAAACTTGATATTAACAAAATTAATCTGTCATAAATGGGTATACAGAAATGGATTAAAATCATCATAACGTCGAAACAAAAAGGAATAAAGAAATGATTTTTATACGGTTAAATATTAATTAAATTATCTTCAATTTGGTTCTTATTTCATGTTGATATCTCAATTCGTTCTTGAGATACGGCTTCGTAAATTTCATTGTTTCAACTTAACCTCAATATTCGAGAATTAAATTAAAAAATCGCATCACCGAGATTTGTAGAATCGAAAGAATTATTTTTGGTGTGTTGAAACAAGATTAAATTTGCTATCAATTGGTTGATGAATCATCTTGATATCTAAATTATTTTTTGAGATATGATTTTTTTAAAACTTGATATTAACAAAATTAATCTGTCATAAATGGGTATACAGAAATGGATTAAAATCATCATAACGTCGAAACAAAAAGGAATAAAGAAATGATTTTTATACGGTTAAATATTAATTAAATTATCTTCAATTTGGTTCTTATTTCATGTTGATATCTCAATTCGTTCTTGAGATACGGCTTCGTAAATTTCATTGTTTCAACTTAACCTCAATATTCGAGAATTAAATTAAAAAATCGCATCACCGAGATTTGTAGAATCGAAAGAATTATTTTTGGTGTGTTGAAACAAGATTAAATTTGCTATCAATTGGTTGATGAATCATCTTGATATCTAAATTATTTTTTGAGATATGATTTTTTTAAAACTTGATATTAACAAAATTAATCTGTCATAAATGGGTATACAGAAATGGATTAAAATCATCATAACGTCGAAACAAAAAGGAATAAAGAAATGATTTTTATACGGTTAAATATTAATTAAATTATCTTCAATTTGGTTCTTATTTCATGTTGATATCTCAATTCGTTCTTGAGATACGGCTTCGTAAATTTCATTGTTTCAACTTAACCTCAATATTCGAGAATTAAATTAAAAAATCGCATCACCGAGATTTGTAGAATCGAAAGAATTATTTTTGGTGTGTTGAAACAAGATTAAATTTGCTATCAATTGGTTGATGAATCATCTTGATATCTAAATTATTTTTTGAGATATGATTTTTTTAAAACTTGATATTAACAAAGTTAATCAATCATAACAGAAATTGCCCGTTTTCCCCGTATTAATCCGTTATATCGAGGTTTTAATGATTAATTTTAATTATTTACTGCTAAATATCTAACTCGATCCATATCTAAAAGACCTCCATCATCCGGATAACCATTCTCCGTAATATAAATACATGGATTGTTATATTCATTTTTGATCCAAATTAATAGTTTTTCAAGACCCCACGGAACGACTTTTAACCATCGCGCTTTCGAAGCTGGCCATTTCGGGTCAATTTCTTTTTTAACTCCAACATCTTTTACGTGGGACGTCAAGTTTGTATTGTAATCATTAGGACTCACCAAATAAGTTGTGTAATGATTCAAGCCTAAAAAGTCGGCTGAACCACGAATCCTTTTTATCTCATCTTTGGAGAAATACGGTAATCGAGTCCCGGTGAAATTATTCGCTAAGCTTAAATTCTTTATTCGATCCTTCATTATATCCGGATAATCACCGTGTCGCGAAAAAATCGGATGAGCCCACCAACCAAACTTAAATAAAAAATAATTAAATCAAATTAAATTAAATTTAAAAAAATTACTTCCATTTGCATCGCTCTTTCTGCCGCTTTCACATCAGCTTTAACATTCTTGTTTTTGGGTTCATACCATGGCGTGGAAATGGAAATCCCTAACTTTCCATTATTATATTTACTCTTATATAATCGATAAACTTTTGAGTGACTCAATAAAACAGTTTTTCCACACAAATAATCAGCGATTCCACTCATATTAATTCCGGGTGCATTAAGTCCTAATCCATAACCAGTTTCGCATATTTCCCCCGGTTCATTAAACGTAATCCAATACTTAACTTTATGCGAAAACTTGCTAAATAAAAAATCGGCGTAATCGACGAAATAACTTCCGATATTCGGGTTTGTCCATCCACCCAATTCTTGTAACATCGCCGGCAAATCCCAATTATACATCGTTACCATTGGTTCGATTTTATTCGATAATAATTGATCGATTATATCACTATAATATTTAACCCCATCCGGATTAACATGATTAATAAACCCCGTTGGTAAAACTCGCGGCCAAGATATCGAAAATCGGTAAAAATGTACTCCAAGATAAATTAAATTAGCTAAATCTTCGCGGAATTGGTGATAAGAATCAGCGGCTACATCACCAGTCGAATTATCGATTATTTTATCGGGATTGTTATGGGAGAAAACATCCCAAATACTTTCACCTTTACCTAAAATTAAAAAAAATAAATAATCAAACATTTTGGGAACCCCCAAATGAATCAATTACCATTCGCATTCCATCCACCTTCTATTTGATAAGCTGAGGTTGAAACCCCGAATAAAAAATCATCAGGAAACACATTATTACCGAGGGTGGTTTGCAAAAATAAACTGAAGAATGCCAGAAATAGTAAAATCATGACATTATGTCTTTATAAAACAGAAAATTAAATTTGCAATTTTGGTTGCATAATTAATCAAGTTAATTGGGTTGCATCTATTAATAATAAATTTTGAAGTATCTCAAATTAAAACCGATGACTTGCTATTTCAACTTGATAAACCAACATAATTGTTAAACCACATCTTATTGAATCCTCAATAATTTCAAAATTATATTTAAAAAAATAAGAAACGTGTCGAACACGTGGTCATCATTGACAGGTAAAACGTCAAAACAAACATTTTCGCAATTTCCCGCTCGCTTTCCATCAATACGATCCTGTTTACACGTTCCTTTTTGGATTTTCAAAACCGAAACGACCTTTGGACGGTTTTAAAACGTAATCTCTGTGTGTGTTGTGTGGATGTGTTTCATGTGACATAAGAATTTTTTTAACACACCCCGGATAAAAATCTTCCCTTAAAGAAATGGTAATCACCTCAATATCAATTTAATCATACAATAAATCAATTTATGCATTTATATTTATAAGAAAATTTCTTTTTATGTTAATAGGTTTTTATTTCTCCAAAAAACCTTCACATAACCTCAAAGATCGTTGAGAGATTACTGCTTCGTCCAGTATCAAGTTTAAATTTGAATCGGAAAATGTCTTCGGGAGGAGATGATGTAATTTTAGAATCTGTAAATAACATTGGTATTATTACCTTGAATCGACCGAAAGCTTTAAACGCTGTCAACTTGTCAATGGTCCAAAAAATCCTTCCAACTTTACAAGAATGGGAAAATACTCAATCGTTTGTTTTAATAAAAGGAGCTGGGGATAAAGCTTTTTGTGCTGGTGGTGATGTAAGAGCTGTTGTGGAAGCCGGACAAAAAGGTGAAAAATTAGGGCATCAATTTTTTAGAACTGAATATACAATGAATGGGTTAATTGGTAATTATCGCATCCCATATGTTGCGTTAATTGATGGGATTGTTATGGGTGGAGGGGTTGGGTTGTCGGTTCATGGTCATTACAGGATTTGTACTGAAAGATCACTTTTTGCTATGCCTGAGACACAAATTGGGTTATTTCCGGATGTGGGTGGTTCCTATTTTTTACCACGTCTACCTGGAAGGTTGGGTTATTATTTAGCATTGACCGGACATCGATTAAAAGGAGCTGACATACAAAAAGCTGGAATAGCTACTCATTACGTTGATAGTAGAAACATGGCACATTTAACAGATGAATTAATCCGTTGTAAAAATCATGAAACGATTAGAGAAGTTTTAGATAAATTTTCAGTAATCGATGAAAAACCTTTTTCGTTAAAACAACATCAAGTTAAAATTGACAGTTATTTTGCGGCTCATACCATGGAAGAACTTTATTTTAGGTTATCAGAAGACGATTCGGAGTGGTCAAGAAAAACTTTAAAAACTTTAGATGGAATGTCTCCAACGAGCATGAAAATTACATTGAGATTGTTGCAATTGGGTGCTCAAGCGAATCTTTTGGAATGTCTTCAAATGGAATATAGAATGGCGGTTGCTTGTTTGGCTAATCATGACTTTTACGAGGGCGTTAGGGCATTGTTGATCGATAAAGATAAGAACCCGAAATGGAATCCGGCTACTTTGGAGGAAGTTAGTTCGGATATTGTTGCAAATCACTTCATGAAACTTCCCGACAGTGAGGAATTGAGACATAAATTATAAAATGAATTTATTTATTTCTTTTTTTTTTGAATTATGAGATGATGAAATTTGAGATACATTTTGTTGAAATAAAAAATAAAGTTGTTATAATTAATTCAGAATTAAATTAAAATTTTTTTTGGTTATGTGCTACATGTAATTTTTTGCTTCATAGATGGCGCTACATTTTGTTTAAATTTTTCTTTTTGATCATTTTTGATTTCAACTTTTTTTTTCGTACTAAATACAAAAAATAACGTTGTATTTATGTTATTGTATATTTTAATATTGTTTTTGTAATCTGAATTAAATATTTCCTCGAAAAGGAAAAGTGGCGCATCTCGGAAATATACACATCGTCGCCATTTTCTAAGCTTCCTTTCCATCCCGAGTTCCAGTCGTTTTTTCAGGGAATTTCGGAATATAAGTGGTAAAATCCTTATTTTAAATACTCCTAATAAGTAATAAATTAGATTTGTATAATTATGAAATTATTTAAAAAAGTGAGNTATGACATACGGTTCCGCAACTTTAACATTAACGGTGGCCATTACCAGGAGGCTCAAAGTAACGCAAAGAAAGATGGAGAGGTCGATGCTGGGTGTAACCCTAAGGGACCACATACGAAATGAAGACCTACGAAGAACTGGCGTAAATGATGCGGTCAACATTGTGGCAAAGCTCAAGTGGAACTGGGCGGATCATCGTCGCAAGAATGTAGAATGAGCAGTGGTTACCTGATAATAATACGTCTTCGATCGTTGACAATTCCTCGTCTTCAACGCTCATTTCATCATATTCCTCTACATTTTTGTCCGAATCTGTTATATTTTTACTTGTATCACTTTTATATGTACTGTTTGGCTATTTACCCTGAGCCGGGGTAAGTACCCAGATAAATACCCATTTTATAAATACCTACCCGCCGGGTATTTACCCAGCGCCCATCACTGGTTTTGACAGTTTCTAATTGTCAATTCAAAGTTTCTATTTTCAAGTGTTCCGGTGTTACCAACTGCTACATACCTGTTTCCCTACATTGCCAAAATTTACTTTATTTTTGTTAAAAAAAAGTATAAAAACGCGAATTACAAAAAATAGCATAAAAAACACGTTTCATAAGACTTAAAGCTTAAGGCTTCGCCACTCGTTTTTCAACTTGAATTCGTGCATTTCAAGCGTGTCTTACGAAACTTGTTTTTTAATATACTATTATAGAGCATAAGGTTACCTCATTTCCTATGCCTCTGTAGTATCGATTATTACCCCGCAAATTGACGTCACTGGTTCGATACAGTCAGAATAAAAGATAGCCTATACGTGCCTATAGTGTGGTACAGTCTATATAAAATATTTAAACCTCGCATCGTGTTGTGTTGTTCATAGAACCAGCTACGTCACTGACCCGCCTTGCCTCTCAGAGGAGGAGAATCGGTATTGGGTAACCTTATGTTCTATAGACCTTGGGTGTTTAATATCCCTTTCAATTTTGCCACTGAATCTTATTAGTCACGTTTTCAGGATGTTATGTACCAATATTATTGAGGTAACATATTTAGTTAAGGAATGGTTTTTATGTTGCCCAAGGTATCTAAAAACATTTCGAGTCCTGTGTGTATCAATGAAACCAAGTGTTTACTCAAATATTGTACAATATTTATTAATTTCATCTTTTAATTTATATACAGTCTGCATTTTTTATTTTAAATTTAACAATTATGTAACATCAACAACATTATACTCTTTTCTTGTTTTAAATTTTAATTGTTTACGCCTAGCACAGAGTTACAATAGTTTTTAGCGGGCGTTTGTGTTCCTGTTATTGTTAATTGATTTTTTTTGTATAAAATGTTTTAAAATATTCTAAAGAAACAAGCAGAAAAATGCTGAGAACGATTTCTATTAAACCGTGCGGTGAGCACTCATTATTTTTCGCCATTTATACAAATTTCGTTTTTTTTTTCGTTAATAAAACGCTATACGTATATAGATCGTGTCAAAAAGCTTGATTTTCGAGTTTATTTTAATGAATTCAAAAAGTATACAAACATGAAATATAATTAAATATATGGTCATATTTAATATATACATTTTTTGACTTTTTGAATGTTAAAATCGGATGTAGAAGACACTTTTATTTCCGTTTTTTAAGAATTTTTTAGAGAAATACGAAGGGGCGTTTATTTTTTGAAATGAATTTGCAATAAAGAAAATAATTAATTACTTAATTAGTTACTTAGAATGTGATGCGAATTGCAAACGTGTACAAAATCATATTATTCCTTAATTAATTTTAAATTTTAACTAATATATACAGTATCACAATAGAAAAATTTATTTTATTCTTTTGGTATCCCACATAACTAATAATTTTTAAGATAATAACAATTCCTGTATTTTTTTTAAATAGTTTTTAATTATTTTAACTTAAAAAATCTATATTTATATATTATGTATTATTAAAACGTATCTAATAATAATAATAATAATATAAAAAACCAACAAATAACAAAACATTTAACAACTTTTATATTTACTTTAATAATGTAATTAGGTCTTTTTCAAAAATATCAGCCCACCTCTAACATTTATCGTTATATCTTTTTATTTTTTAATTATTATTAGAGATTTCTTTATTTTTTATTACTTTAAATTTATTTTATTTATATTATTTTTATATTTTTGAATATCCTTGCACCTATGAACATGTCGACGTAAAAAAGCAGATTTTATAACAGTTCTCTTACTCCCTCTCAAGTTGTGGCACTGAATCACTTTATTCAATATTTTTATGGTTTTTTTTGTCAAAATCCATTAATTTTTGTCCTTTTATGATTTAATATTTTTGATGTAACCTTTTATAGTCCTTTTTTTTATCAAAGTAGCACCCTTTAAACCAACACCCAACATTTATTTAAATTAATACTTAATTGATACTAGGGGAATTGAAAAATTGGGGGAAAATAGAGATGTTAAATAAAGGGTATTGGATTTTGTTTTTTTTATCGATGGTCCTATTCGTTTTTAAATGTAAGAATAGGGACCATCAGTTAGGGCGCTACAAAGCAATAGTCAGGAATTATCGTCTTTATTTGTCCCACCGCCTCCTGTACCACCACCTTGTCCGGTTCCGGTTCTTCCCCGAATATTTTTGTACTCTAAACCAGGATCGAATTGCATTAACACAAATACCTAAAAGGAATAAAAAATTATAAACATTTTTTTTTTGTAAAATACATCACTCATATACATACAGGGTGTCTCAGCGAGACCGGTCATTAGACGTTTCTGGGGTTCTGGTGAAAATAAAAATTTGAGAATTCAGACTTAAGTATTATCAATTACTATCTCTTCGTCTCAAATATTTTCAGATTTCTTGCACTTCCGGTTATACCGGAAGTCGCCACCAACTTTATTTTTTTAAATGGAACACCCTGTATATTTTTACATATTTGGATTTGTCTGTTTTGAAGGTTTATAAATAACTTTACTTTTTGCAATTTGATTCGGCCGTTCTCGAGTTATTCGAATTTTTCTAGAAAAATCTGCTCCAGCAGACATTTGTTCAAAAAATCAGAGAACACTCGATTTTTGGGATATCAATTTAGGATTGAGAACATGCTTAAGCAACATGATGGAGTATGTTTTGGTGCCGAGAACGGCTGTCTAGACCGTTTGGTCACTTTACTATGATACGTTAGCTTTTCGAAATTTGGAAGCACCATAACTTCATTTTTTTAAATGGCACCCCCCATATTTTATTACTTAGTCGTCTTCGGCGTCTCATTCTACATCTTTTATATCCCATATGTCCCATACCTAACATTAATAGTTTGGGAGATAATTAGGGTTTTTTGAAAAATGCACACATATCATATGGATATTTAGCCTAGTGTGCCATGAAAAACAAGCCTTCTCAATGAGTTCTTGTCAAAGACTCACTTGTTTACGTCACTTGAT